TTTGGAAATTTGAGAATTTGGAAATTTAAGAGTTTGGAGCTTTGAAATCTTGGAACTTTGAGATCTTAGACCTTTGAGAATTTAGAAATTTGAGAACTTGGAATTTTTAGAAATAGAAAATTTGAAAATTTGAAAACTTGAGAATTTGAGAATTTCAAAATTTGAGAATTCAAAAACTTCAGAAATTTTTAATTTACTACTTCCAAAAGTTCTCCCCTAAACTTGTCTCTCTATTCTCAACCACCCATAACTCAATATCCCATTAACTTCTGTCCCCAGGTTGTTCGCCGTATCGAGATGTTCTCGATGTCGAGCCGGAATTTCCGCCTCCGAGCTGGTGATGCGTGCCAGGGACTTGGTGTACCATGTAGCCTGTTTCACGTGCGCCTCCTGTGGAACCCCACTGAACAAGGGCGACCATTTTGGCCAGAGGGACGGTCTGGTTTATTGTAGGTGAGAAACAGCCAGCCCGAGTTACCATCCTCCGAAGGCCGTCTCTTTGTTATCAACGAGTTTGATGACGAGAGTGACAGAAACACGAGGCGCGTCGACGTTTAGAACAGTACTTTTATCGATTACCACGTGCTTATCGGAGATGTCTTTAGAGAATTAGGATCGAGTCGAGGGCTCGACGCGCGTTCTCGTTTAAGGGAAAGACGCGGTGCCTCTCTGGTCGATTGGGTTGATCCTCGATTTTGCGATTGGATGAGATAATTTTCTGTATCGGTAATCTCCTGGTTCTCTAAATTCCTGTATCTCTAAATTCACGTATCGTTAAATTTCCGTATTTTTAAATTCTCATATCTCCTAATTCCCATCTCTCTAAATTCCCATATCTCCTAATTACCATCTCTCTAAATTCCCATATTTCCTAATTCCCATCTCTCTAAATTCCCATACCTCCTAATTCCCATCTCTCTAAATTCCCATATTTCCTAATTTCCATATCTCTAAATTCCCATATCTCCTAATTCCCATCTCTCTAAATTCCCATATCTCCTAATTCCTATCTCTCTAAATTCCCATATCTCTAAATTCCCACATCTCCTAATTCCCATATCTTCAAATCCCCATATCTCCTAATTCCCATATCTCCTAATTCCCATATCTCTAAATTCCCATATTTCCTAATTCCCATCTCTCTAAATTCCCATATCCCCTAATTCCGATATTTCTAAATTCCCACATCTCCTAATTCCCATGTCTCCAAATCCCCATATCTCCTAAATCCCATCTCTCCAAATTCCCATATTTCCTAATTCCCATCTCTCTAAATTCCCACATCTCCTAATTCCCATCTCTCCAAATTCCCATATCTCCTAATTCCCATATCTCCAAATCCCCATATCTCCCAATTCCCATATCTCTAAATTCCCCTATCTCCTAATTCCCATCTCTCTAAATTCCCATATCTCCCAATTCCCATCTCTCTAAATTCCCATCTCTCTAAATTCCCATCTCTCCAAATTCCCAAATCTCTAAATCCCCAAATCCCCAAACCTACCAAAAATCCCCAGATAACCCAACTAACTCCACAGCAAGCAAACAGCACCAGTCCGCTGTCGCTCCCCAACAAAAAAGAAGTCTCGGTTCAGTCGACTCAATCGCTCGGATCGATCGTATCGATCGGAAAGCGGCGTGGCCGATCGTCTGTCTCCTCTCGCGAGCGAGACCGTCGCGTTCGCGCGTTCATCGAACTCGGAGGATAACGCAGGGTCGCCACTGAAATACTCGACACAGCAAGGTTCACGAATGACGAGCTGGTCGGTCCCAAGACCCCACTATGAGTTGCTGTGCTGCGCGGGTGATTATGGGAGCGCAGCCAGCAACATCGAGGACATCGGATCCCCGGGGGTGTCGCCGCTTCCGGCTTATTACAGCGCCGCCGAGCAGAGTCCTATCGCCACTTCCGGCACGGTGCAGAAAGGACGACCCAGGAAGAGGAAGCTGTCCGAGGTCACCGGCTCCGAATTACCCGTCACTATGAGGCTCGCTGCTGGTGCTCTTGGTGAGTTCTCTCCTCACTTCTGTTCCTGTTCTTACTATCTTCACATTCTATCTTTATTCTTGTTTACATTGATAGTCGCTGACATTGTCATTCAGTCGCTGACATTGACATTCAGTCGCTGCAACCCGTAGCCCGCACCTTATACTACGGTTTCGGGGGTAAACAAATAGAAACCTTGTGATTCAACACATTTATTTTGATTCCTGCCTACATACAATCTACGACTTACTCAACTAGCTTACTAAACGGTCGCATACCCTTCGGTCGTAAGGATGCTCGAGTCGAGACGCATTTCGTAGCAGCGCTGCTCAAGGCACTCCGCAGGGTCGATCAGGGGACTCGGGGAGGAAGCTTCCATCGGGTGTCACCATGGTGGGGGATTATTGGGCAGGGCGAGCGATACGGCGGTGTTATCGGCGGACGACTGCGAGAAGCAACTTCGTCCGTCGATCATCGCTGGGGCTTCGGAAATTGGGACTTAGGGATGCGGGTATGGAACCAGCTCGCTATCCTTAACATGAAAAATGGGAGCTCGTCTCCGCTTTCTGCGTTACGGTCGCAACCGTGTACGTTGAGCGGAATCGTGTCCGCCGTGCGCGGCTCGCGGCCGCGTATTAATAGTCGCGGGGGACCATTGTCATTGCGAGAGCGACAATTCGCGGCTGGCCGCCTAGTGGCCGCATGCGGAGTTCGCGAGTCGCGGCGCGGAATTCGCGGCCTTACATTCTCGTTTACATTTTCATTTTTATTTTGTTTTCGATAACTTTTGATTGTGGGTCTAATGGGAGTCGTTGGGGAAATGATTTTTGGGAAGGGAAACTTTAATCTTGAGATGAATATTTGGAGGGAAATTTGGAAATTCGGGGAGGTGGTCGTTTGAAGGTATTTACGGATTTCAACTGGTGCGTACAGGAAATTGAACAGTGCACATACATGATTCTTGTTGCATAAGGACAGTCACATATGTACATAGCATGTGATAGTCACATATGTACGTAACATATGACAATCACATATGTACATAACATGTGACAGTAACATATGTACATAACATATGACAGTCACATATGTACATAACATATGATAATAACATATGTACATGGACATATAACAATCACATGTGTACATAACACATGAAAGTCACATATGTACAGTGGTGTGTACAGAAAATTGAACAGTGTACATACATGACTCTTGTTCCATACGAAAGACTAATTATTTGCGTAGTCTTCAGTTACTAAATATTTTTTATGTCTATCTCTGTTTATGTCTGTCTTTACTAACTGGAATTTGGTTAGTCAAAACTTGTAGAAACTTGAAAAACAGTGTAACACTGTATAAAGTATTACACTGTAATAAATACTGTAATAAAGTCTCCTCTCACATGTCAACTTACCAGCCACACATACTTCTATTTGACTTGATTATTTGTCAAGACTTAGAAAACAATGCAATACAGTCGATTACCATGTAACAAGTTACCAGCTCGAAAGAAGTCTCACATCACATGCCATCTTACCAGCCATACATACTTCTGTTTGACTTGACTATGTGTCAAGACTTGATAAACAGTGTAATGCAGTCGATTACCGTGTAACAAGTTAACAGCTCGAAAGAAGTCTCATCTTACACGCCAACTTACCAGCCACACATACATCTCCAAAAGTAGAATACTGCAGTACTAATAGTAATATACAATGTTTAGTACAAGTAGTATAATAGTGTATATTAATTATAAAGTGTAGTAAAGTACATTTCAACCAAAATACACTAACGAAACATAACCACGATTCTAAAGAATGTATCGACGTATAAATTCTGACCAGAATTCCTCGTCGAATTTCGCCTGTCTATAATTGATCCTCGACAAGGGCCTCTTTGTCCTGCTCCGCTGGACATGTGCCAGCCGTTCAAACGGTTTTCCTTTTCGAGAGCCGAATAAATACGCTCCGTCGAACGTGTCCGTCCTCGCGTTTTAATTGGCGTTTAAACGTGCCGGAAGACTCCTCAATTCCTATGGAAAGTTTAATAATCGCGGAACACCGCGAGTTTCGCACAAAGTAGCCCCGTGCGATTTCGGACGACGCCTCACCGGTTATTTCGTTAGAGGGGCAAGAATTTACGATCAACGGCCATAAAATCGGACAGAGATGCCCGCGTTGCATGCTCCGTCTGGGAACCGGCCGACTGCCTCGCCTCTTATTGCCTTTATATATAATTGGGACACTTTTTGCCGAAGACGGTTCCCTTCGAACTATTCCGTCTGGACGTTCGATGAATCGCTGGAATTGCGAACTCGATAACGGTCCCTTCTCTAGAAAGGACACTTCGACGGCTTGAAAAATTGATTTCGATGAGGAAACTTTACTCTTTCAAATTATTTTGCTTTGGTTTTAGAGGTAGTATATACAGGTTAGGTATATGATGGTTACTGAACTTTTTAAATTTAAGAAAAACCAGCGCCATCTATTAAAACAATATGTTATCTGAAAGTATACCTCCCATTTTGTCGAACAACGCCGCCATATTGTTCACCGACGTCCCAGCTAGAAACTCTGTATAATAATAGCACTATCTATTAAATATGTTGTCTGAAAACAGTATACCTCCCCTACAAAACACAATAATTATTGGAATCGAGCAACAAATTGTAAACTTATAGCGTTTAATGCGACAGAACCTTTCGTCACCGTGTCACAAAATCACGAGCACGCGCAACAAATTGCACGCGTTGAATATTGCGAGGATCTTATCAAAACAGCCAGACGAAACTGTACATTCCTGGAATCAATTGTAACTAGTGACGAGACGCGGTGTTTCAAGTATGAACCTCGAACAAAGCGCCAAAGTGCTACGTGGAAATCTCCAGGCTCTCCAAAATCAAAAAGTTGCGATTCCAGAAGTCCCTCGAGAAGACAATGTTAATTTGCTTTTACGATTCTAAAGGAATTATACTTCGGGAATTCGTTCCATAGGGACAAAATGTTAATGGCGAATATTATCTGGGTGTTATGGAACATTTGTGGAAGATCGTTCGTGCGAGGCCCGAATATCGAGCGCCGGGAAGTTGTTTTCTGTTGCATGACAACGCACCATGGTGTACATGCTGCATGCGAAGTACTTAACACTACGTACCGTAATATTTTTAATACTTTTAATATTAACCTGATGCCAAAAATTTATTAAGAAATCTTGTAAATAACAAGTAAAATATTACACGATACAGTTGCAAACACTGTTTATATTTTTGAAGTGTACTGCAAAAATGCGGCGGCCATTTTGATTACTTTTCACGCAGACCATCAACTAACTCTACCGCTGGCAACCCAGTAGTTGTCACGTGACTACAGTCCTCCCAAAAGCAACATGAAATCACCATGTCCTAGAATTGAAATACTATATCATTCCTATAATCTAGCACCCATCCACCTCCAATCCGATTTGCCTCGAAGTCCAAATCCTCGCAAGCCCCGGCAAATGTTTGCAGAGCGAACGAGCCATTATGCTCATTGCTCGGCAAATAATACAACTCCCTTGATTCTAGGGATGAAAAAAGGAATTTTGAGATAGAGAGAGGCGAGCTCGCAGGGAGCACGTGTTCCCATGGTTTTAAGAACCGCGTCTGAAAGTGCAGCACACCCCCGTTTACCATCCGGCCCAATTATCCCTCTGGCAACCCCTTCCATCCCTCGTTTCGCGTTCTTTCACCACTGCCAATTACACGTATTTGCGTACACGGGGACGCGGAGAGGCGAGACTATGGATTCTTCTGAATTCTTTATTGTTTCGACTCCACGGCGGAAGGAACAAAGGGGCCGCGCTTTTTTTTACCCTTCTCTTCTTGCCTCGATCAATACTACGCGATCGAAAGAAACATCAATATTTACTGTTACTCGGATACTATTACATCTGTCGTTTCAAGAGAAGTTTATTGAGATATATTATGTTATTCAAGTACCCTCTGATGCTTGTAAGCTTCTTTGAAATATTGCGGACACTTTGGTATTTTGTCTATGAACAATTAAAAATCCTCTTATTAGTATGATATACTCGTACTTGTACTTGATATAAATTTGTCCACAGACAATTCAAAATACTCCTACAGAGATCCTCATACTTATCCTCTTTGATATAAACTTGTCCACAGACAATTAAAAATCCTGCTTCGAGATCTTCTTACTTCTCCTTGATATTAATTTGTCCACAAACAGTTAAACAAGTTCCTTCTACAAGGATGCTCCTCGTCCTTTACTTACAAGATTCATCCTCCTCCTCTTTGGTATAAATTTTCCCACAAACAATTAAAAATCCCTCTGTTACAGTTTCCCATAAATGCCCAATAAGTTTCCCATAATTGTCCTATAAGATTCCATAATTGTCCACAATTGTCACATAAGATTCTATAATTGTCCCATAAGTATTCCACAATTGTCCCATAAGATTCTATAATTGTCCCACAAATATTCTATAATCGTCCCATAAGATTCTACAATTGTCTCACAAGTATTCTACAATTGTCTCATAAGATTCCACAATTGTCCCACAAGTATTCCACAATTGTCCCATAAGATTCCATAATTATCCCACAAGTATTCCACAATTGTCCCATAAGATTCCATAATTGTCCCAAAGTATCCCAAATTGTCCCACAAGTATCCACAAATGTCCCATCACCCATTTTCCCCGAAAAGGTCATCGGACCCGATCGCTTTCCCCGAGAGCCGCTCTATCAATAAACCAGCTCTGCAAAAGGCATACGCAAGTTTTTACGCGTAGCTGGCCTGGTTCCCAAGCGGATAGAGCCCGCAGGGCAGATCAGGTGGACGCGGTTTTCGTGGTTCAAGAATGAGATTACAATTTGTCAGGATCGGGCCAGAGGGCGAAATCGCGGATGGCACTCGGCTGCGCAAGAAAAGAGCCAGGCGGCATTATAGTGTTCCTGCCGGCCATTTCTGTAGCCAGTGGCCACGTATTGGCCACGGCAGCATTCTTTTCCGGCCAGATCGGCCAATCGATGCATCTCGCCACCGATACCCATCTGTCACTGTCCGGCCCGAGCCTTTTCTCCGCTCGCGACCGCCGCGCCGCTTACACCGGGATGTCCGGTGAAATCGCTCGCATCGGATGGTCGGACTCTTCCGGGGGCAGGAGAGGATTCTGGGAATCTTTTGTCTTGTCAGTCGGAGAAACCTTGAGATGAATTTTCGATGCGATTGTCTGAGGTCGATGAGGGATTCATTTTGTTATACTTTTTATTTTAGTACAATTGTTTATTTTATTATGTTATTCATGTTGATTTTCATAACAATCAGACTTCATGTCAATAGTAATTTCAACAGCAATATTAATATCGATATCAATATCAAGTAATTTTTTCTGGACAAAGAAGCTTGTTCAAGATTGTTCATAAGGTGTCCTAAAAGTTGTTACAATTTTCGTAGAAAATAAAGTGAGGTCAAAAAGTGTCCCTCCTGATCAGAATCATTAGTCAAGCTACGTTATGGCAGTAGTCGTTACAATTTAATACATGTGTGTTACAATATTGTTTATAGTATTGTAGTCACTATAATTCTAGGTTATATCATCAGCAGTGTACTTCATAGTATCAAACTAGCTGTAGTCCTAGTGCATACAGTCAACAATGTCAGTTATGCTGCCTATAGTCCTAGTACATAATCTCAGCAGGGTGCATTATACTAAAATGCCTATAATCTAATACATAACGTTGACACTACTAATATACTAATAAAATGTCTATAGTACTGTTACATAACCTTGACAGTATCAGTTATGCTGCCAAACTGCTTATAGTCCTAGCACATAACCTCAGCAGGGTGCATTATACTACCAAAATGGCTATAGTCTAATACATAACGTTGACACTACTAATATACTAATAAAATGCCTACAGTACTGTTACATAACCTTGACAGTATCAGTTATGCTGCCAAACTGCTTATAGTCCTAGCACATAACCTCAGCAGAGTGCATTATACTACCAAAATGGCTATAGTCTAATACATAACCTTGACACTACTAATATACTACCAAAATGCCTACAGTACTGTTACATAACCTTGACAGTATCAGTTATGCCACCAAACTGCCTATAGTCTTAGTACATAACCTCAACAGTATCACTTATACCACCAAAAAGCTTATAGTCCTAGCACCTAACCTCAAGAGTATCCATTATACCAAAAGCCTATAGTCCTAATACCTCCACCAACAGTAATACTACTAAAGCCAATATAATCCTACGTAAATTGGATCCTAACCTAACCCTCATCCACATCACCACATCCACATCAGTAAACTTCCCGTATCCAAATCAGTAAAATTGACCCAAATCCCAGCTCAATAAACTCTCAAACTTCCACCACGAATCAGAGCCACGGCGCCCTAAAAGCCAGTTCCCAGGAATCGCAGCGCTCGGTTTTTCCATCTTAAGGGAAAGAAAAATGGCGGTGTCGTTCACCCCGGCAAAACGAATTCCAACGGCGGTGTGGCCGTCCACGGTTCTCGGTTCTTCTCTTTTCTGGATCGCGAGCCACGGACAGAGAGAACAGCCCGTCGTCCGTAGGGAATGGAAGTTCGGGACAATAAACAGTAATGGCGGATACGTGCACGGGGATTTACTTCTGGCCTGGGTTGCCCCGTTCCCTTCCACGGCCCCGTCGCTTGCTCGCCGCCGCCGGCTGTCCACGAACGTCGTCGCTGGAACCCGTTCTTTCTCTCGATTGAATTCAATGGTTACCCTCGTCGTCTTATTTATTGGATGCGTTCCTTCGCTCCGGCGGCGCGCAACAACTGCAACTTGCAACGGCACCGAACGGTTGCGCCGATGTCCTTCTGGTCGACGCGACTTGCCTCCTTTTATTCCGACGCGGTTACGTGCCCGGAAATTCGTTTGACGTGAGATTCGATCGGACGCGGTTTTCGAATGTTCATCACCTACTCTTTCAGGACACTTTGCGGTTTCGTAGGAATTGATTCGAATTACTAAATGTTTGAGGAACGGAGTATCGGAGATTTGAGTGGTTATTGATCTGCGATAGGTATCTGGGACATAGGGACATAGAGGTAAGGATGTGGAGATATAGGGATGTAGGGAGATATAGGGAGATATAGGGAAATATAGGGATATATACCATATAGGGATATGCAAGGTGGTGGAGCTATAATAATATAGGGATATAGGAGCATAAAGACAGGGCTGTATACAGATATAAGTACTATAGATATGATAGATATGATAGATATGATAGATGTGGGAGTTATGGTGGTTATGATGGTTACGATGGTTATGGTGGTTATGATGGTTGCGATGATTGTGATGGTTATGATGGTTATGGTGGTTTTGGTGATTACGATGGTTATGGTGGTTATGATAGTTATGATGGTTGCGATCATTGTGATGGTTATGATGGTTATGGTGGTTATGATGGTTACGATGGTTATGGTGGTTATGGTGGTTATGATGATTATGATGGTTGCGATGATTGTGATGGTTATGATAGTTATGGTGGTTATAATGGTTGTGATGGTTGTGATGGTTATAATGGTTATAATGGTTATAATGGTTCTGATGGTTCTGATAGTTATGGTAGTTATGCTAGTTATGATAGTTATGTCAGTTGTGAAAGTTATGATAGTTATGATAGTCCAGCTGTGAAAATTATGATAGTTGTGGCAGATATGGCATATGTATATAATAGATATAATAAATGTGATAGGTCTGATGACAGATATTATGTTAAATATGATGGTAGACGTGATGATACATATGATAATACATATGATGATAGATATGATGATAGATATGATGATAGATATGATGATAGATATGATGATGCATGTGATGATGCATATGATGATGCATATGATAATGTATATGATGATGCATATGATGATACCTATGATGATACATATGATAATAGATATGATGATACATATGATGATACATATGATGATACATATGATGATACATATGCTGATACATATGATGATACATATGCTGATACATATGATGATACATATGATGATACATATGCTGAAACATATGATCATGCATATGATGATGCATATGATGATGCGTATGATGATACCTATGATGATACATATGATGATAAATATGCTAACAGACACGATGATAAAACTATGAACCTACTCATAAACCAACCTAAGAATTTAATATCAATGTCCACCATAACAATATCAACATCCCAATTTCACTTTCTCATTCTGTCTATATAACTCATCTAAATCTCGTTGTTACGCAAACAATTTTTTTCTCTTTTTTTTACCAAAGAACCAATTAAAAAGAAGATAGTAGTACCCGATGAAATAGGGTATTTTGTTTCAGAACTCCTCCATCCTACCGAGCTGTCGTCGTCCATGGAATCGTTGGCGGCGTACGAGGCGTCTGTCGGATCGCCGGGGCCCGTGCATCAGAGCCAACGAACGAAACGCATGAGAACGAGCTTCAAGCACCATCAGTTGCGAACGATGAAGAATTATTTTGCTATAAATCAGAATCCGGACGCGAAGGACCTCAAGCAACTGGCGCAGAAGACGGGCCTCTCCAAGAGGGTGCTTCAGGTGGGAAATAAATTTCGTTCTCGATTTTCGTCCGGCGACGTTTTTGCACGGGTAACGAGATCTTTTTGCTGGGTGTTCTTTTTGTTTCGTGTTGTTTAAGTTTATTGTGATTTTTGGGAGATCTTTCGTTAAGGTTGGTGATGAGTTTTAGGTATTGTTAGGTGGATAGATATGTGAATAGATATATGGACATATAGGTGGACATATAGATAGAGATAGGTGGACATATGTAGCTAGAGATATGTGGACATATAGCTAGGGATATATGGATATATGTAGCTAAGGATATGTGGACATATGTAGCTAGAGATATGTGGA